AACAACCTAACAATTTGTGAAAATCACACAAATCCCAAGCTATATCCAGAATTATGCTCTTAATAAAATAAACTTTTAAAGCAAATTGGGATTTTGCCCTAGTTCTTTTTATTTTTTTGTTACTTTTTAAATACATTTGTATAAATAATGCTCCCCTAACTCTCCCCAAAACTTTTAGAACAGATGCAAACTCTTAAGAATGATCAAGCTTTACCTTATTATTAAAAATTTTTACATCTTAGACTACCAAGTTATCACAGAGGTTTTTTTCGGTACTTTGACCTGTTTAACACCTAAAAAGAAGAACACATACATAACACACACACAATCAGCCAGGTCAAAATGTGCTGCAGCCAACAATTTGGCCACCTACAATGAAATAGCTGCCAATTTCACACATGTCAGACTTCTATTCAGGACAAGATTTGGCCTCTGCTGCCTATTACTATTGCCAGCTTGCCTGCCACTCAAAATTTCAACTGAGATTGTACATACATACATGTGGGATTAGGTTACACGAGCGAACCTGCACTATTGAAAGAGGTCAATGAATTATAACTCAAAGAAACATTGATAAATAAAATAAATCAATAGAAATGACAAAAATTAAACTAACAGCAGACAGCACTTTTTTGGCCTTCGGGGCCTGATCAGTGCAGTGATCTTCAACTAAGTGCTTAATTTGGACATAAAACCAAAACTTGTTATGGTTAAATATTATTATTTTTCTTTCAATATTCCCATTCCAGCTGATGTATATTATTTGAATAACAAATCTTATTAGCATGTTAAAATCACCTGAGGACAAGGCATACACTTTGTGCCAAAATTGCTTTGCATCAAGTACGTTATCTAGTACATCATTACCATCTTCAGGTATTTCTAATTTACTCTTGAAAATCACACAAATCATAAGCTATATACAGCATACAATTGGCAGCAAATTATTAAAAAGGAATGCAGTAATCTTTAATAATAAGAGTAGCTAAATAACAAATAGCCTAGTCAAAATGTGCCGGTAACCAGGGATTTGGCTTTCCACACAGAACATTTGTTAGGCGTCTAGTCTGGACAAGGTTTGGTCTCTACCTTCTGTTACTATAGCCAGCTTGCCTACTTCTAAAAAACGTTTTGACTAAGCTGAAAAAAATGTTTGAGAGAAAAATGGCCACAACAAGCCCACTTACTGCAAAATAAGAAACATAAAAGTAACACTTCAAATTAATACAGAATATAAGCCTTGCAGGATTTGGCTCTCAATAAAATTAGTTAAAATAGCCGATCTTGAGTTTAACTACTCACTCAAAATGGGCTGACAGCCTGCAATTTGGCCACCTACAATGAAGTATCTTCCACTGACTTCACACCTTTCAGACTGCTTTTCAGGATGAGGTTTGGCCTCTGCTGCCTATAATTACAACAGCCAGCTTGACTACTACTAAAGAACATTTTGACTGGGCTGTGCAAGTGTTACTAGCATATAAAAAGCACCTTCAGGTAGATTACAGCAAAGCAGACTTTGTACCAAAACACTTTGCATTAAGTACATCATTACCCTCTACAGGTATTTCTAGTTTACATGTGAAAATCCCACAAATCTCAAGGTATATTACATCATACATGTTGACAAAGCAATCAGGGGTACATTTTTCATAATAGGATGCAATGGTCTTCAGTATCAAGATTATTTGGTACCTAAATAGTAAAATGTTCGAGAGAAGAAATAATCATAAACATTTTTTCTTTCTCATCAGCATCGACTTCCAAAAGTAATGGATAATGACCACCTAAAACAAAGAAGAAATAAATCAAATTTGTGATTTCACAGGGCTTCAATACGAAACAACTATACATATCTTTTATTTCCTACCACTTACAAGTGGCAGGAATGGCTGAAATGGCCTTCACGTGAACACAACAGAATCCTATGCGTGTATAACCATGTAGAACTATTTATTCGGTATCGAAATTACATCCCAAATGTCATGATATTTGACTGAAACTCAGCTTACCCATCTTTCGTTTAGACTTCGAAACTTGCTGCTTTTTACCACCGTTTCAATGTTTTCTTGTTGTTCAAAAGGTGGTAGGGCCATTGCAGACCGTGATTTTTTTTTTTACTTGAGAACCAGATCACAACACCCAAGCCTTTTCACGCTAAATATTAAACTACTGAGATTTCCTTCGCCGCCGTAAGCCGCCATTTTATCTTTCCCTGAATACTAGTTCCCAAGCTTCGAGCCCGAAGGTCTCAGACATGCACTGAAATTATGATATTCGTTATTTCAGGGCCAATTTAGAAATAACGATAATCGTTATTTTGGTGTCGAGATCATGCTGATCACAACTGAACGCACATTTACCCCTTTCCTCCGCCATCTTGAATGTTGTAAGACAGTGGAACCGAGTCCTTCTCTTTATTTAACACGTGTAAAGAGCATTGGTAACGAAAGAGTCGAGCCACGAAATTACTGTCCTATATCCATAAATTGAAAAATGGCTTTTTCAAGTTTGTAAACGAAACAATAATTTAGAAATAACGATAATCGTGAAAATCCACTTTTTTGGAATTCGGAAGTAGGTACGTTACAATCTCTCTTGGGAACTTGCAGTTTTTAATAGAGAGGAGTGAAGATATGCCAGACTTTTCAGACTCTTCGATACATGTGGCATTTTGAGAGGCTCTGTAGAGTGTGTATATAATTCAAAGAGGAAAGTCAATTGGATGTGTATGATAAAGTCAGGATTCATGGAATCGGAGACCTGGTGTAGACATCATACAATTTATGTTGTGCATAACTCACTAAAAGTTCTTCAGCATTACCCTTACAACCACATCTCCCCTTAGCACACACAGAGTATGTCCATTTCAAAAGATGTCTGCTACAGTGAAGAGGTGTTGCTACCTCCAGCTTAAGTTTCATCATGCAAAGGCTGGTTATTCAATTTAAGTAAGACATCCTCAAAGTGGGAAATAATAGATTCAAGTACATTTTTAACTGTCCTAGCTACTTAATTAAACCTACAGGTCTTGAGTTCTTTCAACTATGGATACAGCTTTCACACTTTCCAAAAAAGCTTAAGTTCCCTGTCAAAGATTTCTAAAGCAGCTATATATTCGGAACAAATTTTATCAAATGATTTTCATGCACCTCATGTGCCACTTTTCTTGTCCTTGACACATTTTGATACCATCTGCGATCTATTACTGAACAATTAAACAAAAGAAAAACTCTGACTTGCTACCCCTAGTGCAAGGTCCATCACACAAAGGCTGAACTTGACTAATGAACTTATATCAACACCTGCATCACAGAGCTCAAATGAATGTTTGCTTCCACCAGAAAAAACAACCCAAACATCATGAAGGGGTCAACTTTTGACTCAAGCTCTGAGTGTATCATCGATAGAAATTTATTTAAAAAATCACTGTGAAAATAATAATTTTATATAATACAAACAAACAAAATTTGACTTTTAAGGTCCTGAATACACAAAATTTGTAACACAAAATGTTGGTTCTCAACATTCACAAAGAATTTTTAAGAAAAAGTTCTATGATGAATGCCCTCCAGTAGATGGCTGAAAAAAATAGTTTCGTATTTATAGCCACAAATTTAAACTAGTTTCAGTGGATGCATTGGCTACATTGTCCTTAAAAAGTCCTTTGCAAGTACCACATACTCAAACAACATATAAGGTCTTTCTACCTGTAAAAATAAAAATAATGAAAATTAATACTTGATGCATTTTTAAAAGTTGGGGTGCAGTTGCTGAGAGGTAAAGCATACGAAGTGAGCTCAGGTGTTTGACAATTTTTAATCACAAGGGGTCTGGCAACCATTCACCCTTTCACTCCCCAGATTTAAATTTTAGTTCTCCACACTGTGTGCTGTGCATTTCAAAAAATTTTTTGCTTAGAGAATTTAGTGTTAAATCAGATGGTGTCTGCTAATCGACATGTTTCTTTCTTCTCAACAACCTTTTGCCTAAAACTTCAGTGGGACTGTTAGGAGAAATTCCAATTTGGTCACCACTGGGAGTGAAAGGGTTAAGTACAATTGGAACAATCAGTGATATGACTAAATACAAGCCATACAGACATAAGCCATTTTAAGGTGATTCCTTGGTATTTCATTGCCCATCCTGTACTGCACATAAAACTCACATAAACTGGCAAATAAGCGCATGCATTCCAAAAACATGTTGTTTTTTAATTAATACAAAAGAGGTGCCATGGTCTTTAGCTCTTGAATGAGCATGGTCACCTATATTTTTTATTGCATAATTTTGGTGTACTTATTATCCCCTTTAACTTGGAGAAATAAAAAAAAATTAATTAAAGAAAAAAACAGATATAGCAAAAAGGTGTGGACAAAGCCTGTCACTTGATGCAAATTATGACCTTGACATGGATGATTTGAGAAATTTTTAAAGTCAATGTTGTTTAAAATTGTGATTTTTCCACAAATTATATATAAAATTGTTCTGTATCATTCCATACTTTAAAAACCCTTGCTTCCAACTTCTGAAAAATTTACTGTGCCCATTAAACCTCTTAATAAAATAAGCATGGCAAACTATCTTTTTTATTGTATATTTTCAAGACAATGGTAAAGAACATTTAAGGAAAGTATAAATAAATTGTTTGATAACTTATTTTCTGAGGGATCACTTTAAGACAAAGTCTTATGTTAAACATTATCCTTTTTTTCTAAACTAGTTATAATCTATGGTGACTGGAGAATTTTTCTCCCTACTGGCATTGCATCAGAACACAAACAAAAAGCTGTAGTGCACAAGCTGGACATGAAATTTTCTGGATTAAGTTGTTTGAAACATGAAAAGCACCATGCTAGATTTAAGCTGTCACAGTAACACAACTATGAGTATTGTAGGCAGTGAACCCAGGATTAAAATTCATTAGGTTAAAAAGAAAACCTGAGTCAGATTCAATATTCTCTAGGGCCTTCAATCAATCTCAATCCTAGGTGTGATCAATAAATTCTACATCCATTCTTACCACAATCTCAGGCAAATGGCTCAAACATGTAAATTTGTATTCCACCTTCCTGATTAATTATATCATCAAAGTCATCAAAACCTTCATAACCTTCATAACCATCAAAATCTTTGTTGTCATCATAATTGTTATAATCATAACTCTCTATATTATTCCATATTAGTGCCCATCACACCTCTTAATTAAACAAGCACAGTGAACCATCTTTTCTATTGAATTTTTTAAGACAATGGTAGCAAATATTTAAGGAAAGTTTAACAAATTGTTTGATAACTTTTTTTTCTGAGGAATCACTTTGAGAGAAAGTCTTCAGTTGACCATTATCCTTTTTTTCTAAACTAGTTATAATCTAGGTTGTTTAATTGTTCTGCGGCAACGAGAAAGTCATCAAAATCTTCATAACCATCATAATCTTCATAACCATCGAAATCTTCGTCATCATCATAATCGTCATAATCATAACTCTCCTCATCATCATAGAAGCCATCATTAGCTTTGCATCTGCTTTTTATTGGCTCTGGGTAACCAGGAAGCACATATACCCTCCATGCAAACTGAAGTCTGGTGATACCTTCTTCACCCTGTGAGTCAACAACAGCAGCACCAATTCCTGCTAGGAAACCGTACGACCCTGGTTGAGTCTCAGTGTAGTATCCTCCACCATCCCCTCCATAAGGACCATAACATTTAGGATCACCATTTTCATCTTTCTTGTTAGTGTAAAAGGAGAGGCGGTCAATCATCCATCCAGAATTAACATCAACTTTGACGATCCTTTCATTTTTTTCCAAGTGAAATTCATGGTGTTCGGACTGATCAGAGCCACTTCCCATCATCATCTCTTGGTCACCGTTATGATTATAAAAAACCTTCAGCCCTCCCAGAACAGGCCTCCCATCCCAGCGTCGAATCCAAAGTTTCATTCCCTTTATGAAGACGTCACTGCCAAGATCTTCAACAGCCTCTGTGTTGTTGTGATGAGATGTTTCAGGATGTACGTAGCCACCATTAGCAAAGGAACGCCCCCAACTGACAGCAGGTTTGGCAAACGCCCGAGTGCTCGCCCATATTTCATCGGCTGAATCTTTCTCGGGGGAATCAGTTTTCAGCTTACGAGCCTTTGAAATGATTCCTCTGCTGGAGTCTGCAATAAGTTTGTGTTCTGAGATTTCTTCCAGATAAGACTCTGATAAAGTTGGAAGTCGTACCAAGGATAACAATTCTGGAAAATGTCTTTTTCGGTTGTCGATATCATGCTCAACATACTTCAAAACGGCTTCAAACACGACCTTTTCCCTTTCCTCTTTGGACGGAATCAGGCTCTCAATAACCACACAGATACCTTCATCAGCAAGAATCTCTTTCAGGAAACCAATTGGAAGCGACAAAAATTCTTCCATCTGAGTGACTTCAGTAAAGTGCCGCGAAAAGTGATTTTTAGCCTCCTTCATTAGCTCTTCCAGCGCAAACAAATCAGCAAGCTGCCAGATGCTAGAACAAGTTTTATCACTGATTGCACCTTTCAGAAAATCTCCGCACGATTTCTTGACAAACTCCACCTGCAAATAATTGGATGCCTCGAGCAAAGTTTGCACATTGTCTTTGCTGATGTCAATTTCGCCCGAATATGCGAATTCGATCAAATCGCTGACAGCATTCTCGTCAAAGCCAAGAACTTCTATCTCCTTTTTCTCTCCATCAGCCCAGTTTTTCCCGAACAAGGCTTCAAAGTAAGGACTAAAAGAGGCCAGAACAACACGATGAACTGAAAGCCGTCGGTCTTCACTTATCTTCAAAGTGACATCAGAATATCTGCCATCTTTGTACATGGTCAAAAGCCCCTTCAGAAGATTACAGCCATGGCTTGGATCGTTTGCATGTAAAGTTTCCATATCCGTCGAAAAATACCTTTCCAGAGAAGGTAAACCTCTTTTCATTGCGGCCATTTTGAAGATTTTCCGAGAAGAGAAAAGTCAAAATGTTCGGTTTCGCTAACGGCGTCTGCAAAGTCTTCAGATTTTAGTCGAAAGCGGAAGTCGGGGTGACTAGTTACCAGATCTCACACTCAGGTGAAATACATGGTCAAAAGTCCCTTCAGCAGTTCGGAACCATGGCTTTAATCTTTTGCGTTAAAATTTCCAGATTAATATTATGGCCATTTTAAAGATTTTCTGAGAAGGGAAAACTAATGTTTGGTTTCGCCAACGAGGTCTGGGAGTCTTTGCTCATGGTCGAAAGCGGAAGTCGGGGTGACTAGTTACCAGATCTCACTCGAATGAAATTGGCCTCACATTTTACTTCTTGCTTATTCTCCTTCGACGTTAGGGAAGCAATGAAGAGGGGGGTGAATAGGCCAACGGATCGGAGGATTCTGAAAATTATTTTGCTCGGATTTCGGATTCAGAGCGAAATTTCAACGGATTTGCGGATCCTGAACTTGCAGCGATTCACAGTTTCATCAATTTTTTGGGTCCGGATTTTGGATTTTGCTTGCGAGGAAGTTCGAATCGTGGATCGAAAAGGTTGTCAGAAATGCGTTGTTTCTGGGTATGTGTATTTTTTTTGTCACGGCCGGACGAGACTCACTTCATGTCACGCATCAGGGAAATAATAACGAACTATGGCCAGCATGAGGAAAGAGGAAGAATATGCATCACTTGGACATGACAAACACCGAGTAAACTTCATGGTTTGGTAAACATGTTGGTTCTAAAAAATGAGCGCCTCGTTTGAAAACGGCTGTGCGTCAGAAACAAGGTCTTTAAACCGTCACTTTCGATTGCATTTAACACCAGTAGTAAGACCAAAAACTGTATTTGTGCGTTGACTTTTTACCAGGCGACTTGACTTACATATAGAGAGAGGTGGTTTAAATGAGTCACTGCAATACGGATAACTTAAATTATTTTTGAATTTTCGAACCTTTGGCTCGATGCGCTAAACGAGGGTCAAGTCTACCCTTGGGTACACCAATGGAGATTAATTGTACCAGTGCATATTTACACTACCCTCTCCCTCAGTGCAGCAAAATTGTTACTCCGATAATTTTCTCGATCAGTTACGAGCTTTTCCGCCTCCCTTCGGCCAAAGTCCCTCAGGGCGACCAATAACTCCGGACTTTTGTTTGATGCTTAATGGAAAAGTTGACCCGGAACAATGGACCATTTCTTGCTACGGCGCACATTCAGGCAATCGCGTGAGTTGGCAGATAGCCTGTGTTCCTAGCAGACTCACATTCCAAAAGAGAATACATAATGAACAACTCGAGTATGACGGATATGGATTTATGTGCAATAAATGTTCAACGCATCATTAGTTATGGAAACGATTTACCAGAGACAGCTTCAGATATCCGAAGACAGAGTCGACTTGGCCCTGTCTGACGGTTTGGAGTCTTCTGAAGTAAACAAGAATGAGGAGGAAGTTGAAACAGGCGACAGTGACCCCGAGAATGTGGAGGAGATCCCAGAGTATGACTCAAGTACAGATGAAAACGAGGAACCAGAAGATGGAGATTCAAGCATTCCTGAACTTGACAGACGGTCCACTTTCCTATTAGGGGGCCACGACACGCTTTGGACGACAAGTCAGGATCAACGACAGATTCCTAATGTAAAGGTAGATCTTTTAGTTAGCGGTTAAAGATCCTATAAAAAGTGTCAGAACGTTTTTTAAAATTGTTTAGCTATAACACACAACAGCTCAAGGTACGTTTTTCACCTTTGCACGTGACAAGTAGCAAACGGATTCGGATTAAACAATTTTCTTTAACGGCTTGACGGATTTGCATACCCCTATTCACCCTCCTCAATAAAATAAAAGATCTTTTAAATTACTTATCTTATGAATTGATCTACCAAACCAGATGAACCATATATCAGTCATATATCTTTTTTTTTCTCTCCATTGTTCCAATTTTTCCTGAAAAGGGCTTCAAAGTAAGGTTTAACAGAGCCAGAGCAACACGATGCACTGAAAGCCGTCCGTCTTCACTGATCTTCAAAAGGATATCAGAATATCTGCCATCTCTGTACATGGTCTAAAGTCCCTTCAGCAGTTCGGAACCATGACTTGAATCATTTGCATTAAAATTTTCCAGATTGCTCTTCGTTGAGAGAGAGCTGACCAAAGATGAAGTCCACAGTCCCCTAGCAGTGGCCGTGTAGACGATTTTTATACCAAGATAAATCCTGATCTTTCGGTTTAATCACGTTGGTTTCAAGCGATCAAAGGCAATATATTTTACCTTCATTTCCGAAGCTGAGCATAGCTTTGTTTCTTCATTAATACATCCGGAGAGGACTAAAATGCCTCAGTTCGATTCGTGGTCGTGGTAATTGTCACTATCATGCAGTTCAGGGCCGGAATGAATCTGCCACAATCAATACTAGAAAGTTTTATACATCTGCCAGAGCTGATGTAGCTATGAGGACTGAACTTCATTGTTTTTGTTAAGCTGCTTTGTAAAAATTATTAAGCAATTCAGAACCGTCAAGTATTTGTTTCTTTGATCCCGACCTGTGTGTATTAATACGTTTGTCCGTGATCGAAGTTTAACGGAAGGAGGTCGTTACCAGGACTAGCGTACGTTATTCGTGCACAACTTTGAAAACTTCTAAAATAAATGATATCATTATTTTGATTAAAAGAGATGAACTTTCGTCTTACGATGACCATAAACTTCGACGGATCAATGCTGTGGTTGAGAAAATCACCACCTAACGAAAAGGCCCTCCTAAGTTTAGGAAATGGACTAAGACAAAATTGTATGATCTGGATCGGGATTGGCTAGTATGAACCGTCGGGATTACAGGATTAAGAAAAAATTTTAGTCGGGAAGAAGAACGCTATTGGAGACCCTATGTAAGGAGAAATTGGACTGATGCTAGTCACTCTTAGGAGTTAAAGGGTTTATTAAATAAGCAAGGTGAACTATCTTTTTTATTGTATTATTATAAGAAGGAACATTTTAGGAAAGTTTAAAGAAATTGTTCGATAACTTTTTTTTCTGATGAATCACTCTAAGACAAAGTCTTATGTAAACCATTATCCTTTTTAATGAATAAAACTCGCATAAACTGGCAAATAAGCACATGCATTTCAAAAACACATACTTGTTTTTTAAATAATGGATAAGATGTACCATGGTCTTTAGCTCTTGCATAAGCACAGTGACCTATATCTTTTATTGCATAATATCGGTGTACTAACTATCCCCTTCAAATCGGAGAAATAAAAAAAATTCGCTGAGGAGAAAAACAAATATAGCTAGAAGCCTGCATAAAGCCTGTTACTTAATGCAGATTATGACCTTGACAGTGACAATTCAAGAAAGTTTTTAAGTCGATGTTGTTTAAAATGATGAGAATTTTCCAAAAATTTTATACAAATTGTTCCATATTACTCCATACTTTAAAAACCCATGCTTCCAACTTCTGCGAAATGTACCGAGAACTGATGGAATACCGCACGTGATTAGTGCCCATCATACCTCTTAATTGAACAAGCACGGTGAACTGTCTTTTTTGTTGTATTTTTCAAGACAATGCAGGAAACATTTAAGGAAAGAGTAAAAAATTGTTTGATAACGTTTTTTTTTTTCTGAGGAATCACTTTGAGACAAAGTCTTATGTTAACCATTATGACCATTGTGCGGCAACGAGAATACCACCAAAGTCATCAAAATCTTCGTCGTCATCGTAATCGTCATAATCATCATCATCATAACTCTCCTCATCATCATAGAAGCCATCGTTAGCTTTGCATCTGCTTTTATTTGGCTCTAGGTCACCAGGAAGCACATATGCCCTCCATGCAAACTGAAGTCTGGTGATACCTTCTTCACCCTGTGAGTCAACGACAGCAGCACCAATTCCAGCTAGGAAACCATACGACCCTGGTGGAGTCTCAGTGTAGAATGCTCCACCATTCCCTCCATAAGGACCATAACATTGAGGATAACCGTTTTCATCTTTCTTGTTTGTGTAAAAGGAGAGGCGGTCAATCATCCATCCAGAATTAACATCAACTTTGACGATCCTTTCATTTTTTTCCAAGTGAAATTCATGGTGTTCGGACTGATCAGAGTCACTTCCCATCATAATCTCTTGGTCACCGTTATGATTATAAAAAATCTTCAGCCCTCCCAGAACAGGCCTCCCATCCCAGCGTCGAATCCAAAGTTTCATTCCCTTTATGAAGACGTCACTGCCAAGATCTTCAGCAGCCTCTGTGTTGTTGTGATGAGATGTTTCAGGATGTACGTTGCCACCATTAGCAAAGGAACGCCCCCAACTGACAGCAGGTTTGGCAAACGCTCGAGTGCTCGCCCACATTTCATCGGCTGAATCTTTCTCGGGGGAATCAGTTTTCAGCTTACGAGCCTTTGAAATGATTCCTCTACTGGAGTCTGCGATAAGTTTGTGCTCTGAGATTTCACCCAGATAAGACTCTGATAAAGTTGGGAGTCGTACCAAGGATAACAATTCTGGAAAATGTGTTTTTCGGTTGTCGATATCATGCTCAACATACTTCAAAACGGCTTCCAACACGACCTTTTCTCTTTCTTCTTTGGACGGAATCAGGCTCTCGATAACCACGCAAATACCTTCATCAGCAAGAATCTCTTTCAGGAGACCAATTGGAAGCGACAAAAACTCTTCCATCTGAGTGACTTCAGTAAAATGCAGCAAAAAGTGATTTTTAGCCTCCTTCATTAGCTCTTCCAGCGCAAACAAATCAGCAAGCTGCCAGATGCTAGGACAAGTTTTATCACTGATTGCACCTTTCAGAAAATCTCCGCACGATTTCTTGACAAACTCCACCTGCAAATAATTGGATGCCTCGAGCAAAGTTTGCACATTGTCTTTGCTGATGTCAATTTTGCCCGAATATGCGAATTCGATCAAATCGCTGACAGCATTCTCGTCAAAGCCAAGAACTTCTATCTCCTTTTTCTCTCCATCAGCCCAGTTTTTCCCGAACAAGGCTTCAAAGTAAGGACTAAAAGA